AATTAATAACATGCTAAATCGACACGTTATGTGAAATGACTTTTTACGCAATAAGTCATTACCTTGCCCATCTCTATCCCAATTATCATCAGAGATGTCAACCTACATAGATTATTTTTTAACTTGACATTATTAATATTTTTATAAATTAATTCACATAAAAAGTTATTATCTGAAGAATACTCGATGAAATTACTTGAGAATTATTGAAACAAATTCTTGAGCATTTCCGAGTGGTTAATTTATTCGACCTCAATATTCTAAGATTTATTAAGCAAGAGTCTTAACCGCCGCCACTATTAAGTCGATATAAGATATCCTTGAATTTATTTTAAATTTTCTTTATATTTTTTAAATGACTGAAGTTAAGTATAGTGCACTGCAAAATCAAATCAAAATTTGAATTTGAATCAAATATTTTTAAATATTTGATTCAATTCAAATTTTGATTTGATTTTGCAGAGTACTAAATATGACTTAAGTCATATTCTAATAGATCAATAGATAAAATTTTGTTCTGATTTAATAGAAATTCTGATTCAAATTTTATTAATTTAAAGACATGTTCGTTAAGGTATTAATTAAAATTATGATCAAATTTTAAACATTAACTTAATATTTGAGTAATAGAAAATTTCCATTGCTAGTGTATTTTTATAAAGTTCTGTATTTATATTGATGAAATTCAATTAATAAAGCAAATTGAAGTTTATCCAATAGATATTCGCTGGTTCGCTGGATTTGCTAACAGAAAGCTCATACATTTGATAAAATAGATACAACTTACAATAAATGACCATGAAACCAGGGTCCAATATCGTAATTCCTTCTAATATTTAACGCTATCACTATAAATGTGGTTGGTCTAAATTTTGAATTCTTTTTAATCTAAAAATGAAACAAATATAAACAGAGATATATCAAATACAATATATATTCACATTTATTTCCATTATAACAAATCTAGACCTTGCCGATCCAGTTTATACCTGAACCAGGGGGAGCAAAATTTCCCACTCCATCCTTGTTGTTTGTCTTGCCCCCAGAAACGATAAAATCGCCAAGGCTGCCCTGTGTTTGCTCACCGACTTTTTTTCCATTGATGTATAGGCGGGCCTCGGGGAAGACAGCACAAGAAAAAGCAACAGAAACCTGTCGATTGCAACAAACTGACATATCAATATTACCATAAATAAATGGTGCATCATAGCCCAACAAAACATGTTGATATGCTCGTTCAAGAGAAGCTACCCGGCTAGACCTAGCATCATGAATGCCAAAACAAGTATTATCGCTGTTTTTAGCGTACCGAATCCCATTGTATGATAAATCTTTAGTGTAAATATCAGCAGATTGATAAAATGGCCATACTTTTGTATATCCGTAGGGATTACGGCTATCATCGGTAACTTTATCCGGGTGTTGAGTTGGATTGTGTTGATCAAGATAATCAGGATCACGAGGGTCAAACTTGATGAGATGACCGCTAGCGTCGCAGCTAACATCAAAACTAGGAATATGAATATATCCTCTGTACTCCTTCTTTACAACCCATGAGGCAAAGTCCCCGCCATAATAATTCATATTTGAAAAGGAGTCGGGAGGGTCATCATTTGCCGTTCCTACCAATAAGTCGCATGCTTGATCGATTTTTCCACACGTTTCTGGATCCAATTGGCACGAGGTTTTTAACAACTTTGACCTTAACTGAGGAATACAATCTGTCAATCCGTTTCCTCCTTTGATATAAGAGATAGAGAGAACGTCTGGTGTTTTAAATGTCGTTGTGCCTTGCGATAATGCTCCCGTGACAAAGAAGATAACCAAAATGATAGCAATGTTTCTGCAAAACACGACTGCCTTCTGCCTGCCAAAACAAATTGGTATGTTCATTTTCAGAAATGGTTAGTTGTATTAGCCTCGAATTGAATTGGCAAGGCTGGAAAAGATATGTTCTAGAGCACTGAGATCATATATGAGAAAATCTTTATTGCACAAGTAGATCAGAGTCGGTTTTGTCGCATTGTATATCACCATAGGTACGTAATACACTGCTTCTCGTGCAATATATACAGTCAATTTTCGAGTTTCAAGAATATAAATTCGGAAAAGAGAAACCAGAAAAATAATCAATTCCCACTTTTAGCAATATTAAATTACGTAGATAAATACAAATTAAAATACCAGAATTATGATTACCAGAGTTACAAATAAACTGATTTGCCAGTGTTACTAATGAACCTTACGTAAATAGTTTACACGTAAGTTATATGTAACTTACCATGTAAATTACGTTGCCAGGTAAGTTTTAACAACCCTATTTATACCAGATCTGCTAAAGATTTATCAAATTAAAATACTGTATCAAGAATTATGTTACAAATAAACCCAAGATTAATAATATATTTTTGTGTTATAAACACTAAATGATTTAAAATTTATATCACTTGTACAGCATGTGATAATATTTAGTAATACAAAAAAGTTTAAAATAATGATATATTTGTGTAAATTGGCATCGATAATACGATGCCAATAACTTTTCAATTTTTTACGTAGTTTTCAATTTTTTTAAAAAAAACTTCTATAAGGATTTTAAAAGAAAAAACATTAAGTGCCATTGTGAGCCACCATCTTCACAAAAAGCCTACACATATGCTGACTAAGCAAAGCATAATTATGATAGCAAAATTTATAGCATTGTAAAAAAGAATCGCATTATAAAAAGGAATATACATTGCCACATTTATTTATAAGTAGGAAACAAATTCGATAAAATACAAATATTTATAACATGTCTAGTGGATAAGTTTTTTATATATATCTTAGTTATATTGGATCACATGATTAATCAATTAAACGCTAAATTTACAGTTCTTCGGCAGAAATGAGGGTTCATCTAACAACCCCACGAAGGAGATGGTTTAGTTTACCATGGTAATCCATTATGACATATTTAATTAAGAAACTTTTTCATTCAAAAGTTTTTTATTGACGTGGATGTGATTATCGTTATTAGATAAATTTATAACAATAACGATTATAATTTTAACCACTTTTGAATCATCGGATTTGAAATCTTAAGTTTATACAATTGTTAAGCTATATATTCTATGTCTTAAAAATTATGATAATTTCGTATTTTGTCTAATTAAATATACATTACAGTATGGGTCTTATGTAACAACCTGTGCTTTTTTGAAAGCTTAACAAAATAAAAACAATTTCATCTCAAGATATAACAAAGAATGTAAAGATCCCATCTTATAAAGAATTAATCAACTTTATTATTGTTTTTTTTTTATAGGTCACTGTCATCCAGAATATTTTATTGAGATAGGTTATGTTATTTCGGCTGAAACTCTCTCACTTTCAACCTCACAGATCAACGAACATCCTGAGATTTCTGGATCAAGTATTCGTGCTTTATATAATAGAAAATCGAATAGTATCCTATTTGCTGATTTACTTTATGGTAAAACTACTTCACTTGGTGGTCGTTTACAATCCCATGGTTATGAAACTGTTCCATCACATATTCATAAATACCCATTTAAAGATGAAAAATATTTTTATGGTGGTTATTGTGTACAAAAATATGGTTCACGATGCGCTGAACATTTTATCGATGTTATACAAATTAAGTATGTTCTTGTTCTATATATATATATCTATATTTAAGAGTATACTAATTGTTATTTTTAGATTACCAAGAACTTTACGAATTGGGAATAAGGAAAAATGATGCAATTTTATATTAGCATTATCAGAAAGCATTGCCTGGTTTTTAAGAGAGTACTACCAAATTTTTTAGGTAATTGAAGACATAATCAATAAAAAGGAAATATATAAATTATAAAATAAAATTACTATAAAATAAGTAAATAGAGTGTTCAGAATTTTGCGGCGCAGAACAATATAAAATGAATGTTATATTTAATTAGAGATTTGACCTGGGTCAGAAAATACCGACCCGGGTTATAACCCGGGTCAACGGGTCAAATGGAAATTCATACCGCCTTTAAAATTAATATTCAAAAGTTATTGTAATTAGAGCTATTAGTATAGCGAGTAGCCACTGAACGTCCTGTACTCCAAATATTTAAATGAAAAGATTTCCTTGCTACTAAAGAATTGGTCAAACCAAAATTTATGAAACAATTTTTGACTCATGTCCTGTCAAGAAGATGACATGCACAGATCAGAAAACCCGTTAAGAGCTTTACTACTTAGTAAATTATAATGTCTTTACCCATACAATTATGTTAGGTAAATTGCTTATTTGTTAGGGGTTTGCCTATTTTGAATTCTGACCTGTTTGACCCGGGTCAAAGCTCTATATTTAATAACAATCAGTATAAATTCGAGTGTTTACAAAATGAAGATTTAAGAAAAACCAACTGAATTTTCAGCAAATAAGTTCTGCCATAAATTACACTATTCCATTTTCTATAAAAATGCAAACAAATGTCCATAAATCCCCGGGAAAAACTGTCATCAATTCATGAAGAATTATTATCTGCGGAACACCAAATTAAAAATAGATCGCTTCCTGATCTTTGTAAGATTATTGACTACTTACCACGTATTGAATCTAGAATTTATTTAATTCAATACTATTCTATTGAAGCTGCTGAAAATGCATTTAAAAAAAAGCAAGTTCAAAATAATGCTTATCAGGTCTTTAGCAATTTGCAAAGGAGCCGTATTAAAGAAATATGCTCGAATGCCAATTATTTCTTAGGATGCTGCTATGAAAATGGGGTTGGATGTGATAAAAATGATAGACTTGCTTTATTTCATTTTGATTTAGCAGGTAAAGCTGGTACTTGAATGCCCAAAGAAAATAAGTTGAAAAAAAAGTAAAACTTGATCATTATTTTTTAATTATCAAAAAATACCAGTCTTTTTAAACTTTAAAAAATAAAATCAAAAAAATTTTGCTGAGGAGAAGGCAGAAATTAGAATCTAATAATTACCGAGTTCAATCTTTAGGCCGTTTGAAATTAAAACTTCGTTTAACGTTATTTTTTTCGTATTGCACAAGGGGAGGGGGGACAAAAAATAAACAAATCTGATGTCAATTTTGATCATGTGATTTGTAAAGGCACTATGAATCACATGGTATAAAATATTTCAGCCTCTACAAGAGGCCGAAATAATGAATTTTTTCAATTAATATATATGATAGTAAAGCGACTTGTAAATAAAACCCAAGTTCGTTGAATTAAATCTGTTATTTATGAAAATTTCGAAAACTTGTAGCTGTAGCAATAGAATTAATATCAAAGAATGTTCTAACTGCATGTTCAATAAAGTTTGTAAAAGGAAAAAGATTCTTAACTTTTTAATACTACGTTTACATATAGTATGTAGTAATGATGCCTGATGAAACTATTTTTGCGATGACGAAAGGGACCAAATTGACAATTTTTTCAAAAGATTTTTTATATAAATCAATTTAGAATAAGATTAGAATCATTTTTTATTTAAGACACAAAAGTAGTTGTATTAATAAAATTTTGTTATATTGCTCTTTAAAATTTGTATTTTCTTATAATTTATTATAAGGTTTATAACATAAAAATTGATTTTCCTAATTCAGAACTATAGCGATAGATGCTGGTGAAATTAATTTCACCAATTTCACCAATAGTGATGAAATTATTTCACCACATTTCACCACATTTTATCAGCATCTATATTCAGAACTAGTGATGCTGGTGAAATTAAATTAGAGTGGTGAATCCAATGACCCCACTTTTTTTTTTCCCGCTTGTTAAGGAATTTGCCTTGTCAAAGGGATATGACTAGAGTGTCCAGAATTCTGCGGTGCCTCCAGCCCAATAATCTTACAAATAAAAATAAATTGGATTTATATATTACTGATTATTAATTCGAAATCAGAAACTTGAACCTTAGGTCTGAACAACCCAAATAAGTTTACCAACCTCGATATATAGTATTAACGTGTGTTACCGTTACTGGAAGAAATTTGTGGTTATTCAAAATTAGTTTAACTGAAATATTTTTGCTGCTTTTAAGGACGTACAGTATTCAATTTTCACACGCTTAAAACCGGTTTCAAAATCTAAAAACGTAGCTTGATCAATCCCTGATGACGTATTTTATATACTATATATTTTATTTAGTGGATTGGGGCGCAACCAGAGTTGTATTGGGCACAACCAGGAGAGTTACCAGCACCAAAAAGACCAGCAACGAACCAGCGGCACCAAACCACTACACTAAAGAGACTATTAAGAAAATCGTAATATTGTGAAATACATCAGCTGAGAGCCCCAGCTGGTGGTGTGAAAGCATTCGAATTAAGTTATTCGGGAAATCTAAAGGCACTGGTATTTAATACGTAATTTTTTAGGGTGGTTGAGTGTGCTGTAACAATTTCTTACTTTCACGTAAACATATAGTAAATGATTAATTGGCCAATTTATTCACGGTCTTATGTGAAGATAAGGTAATTCTTAATTATACTTTCTCTTTATTAGTGGTGCAAACTAAACTATTTAATTCGAATGTTAATTTATTATGTTTAGAATGGATCTTAATACTATTTATGTGATTCAAGTATCAGTACGTTGGACAAAGTGTTTAGTACGTCAAATACTCAGATTTGGGTTTATTGATAGATTATTACTCTTGAATTGTAATATTTAGATTATTTTTAGTTTTTAATTTTGGTTTTTTCTTTTGTGTTTAGGTTTGTCAACATTAATTAAACTTTGATTAAGCTTCTTATATGAATTTATTTCTAATAGCATTAAAGCGATAAATTTTTTGGTTAATTATTGATCTACTATATAAAAGGGTTTGATTGTACGATCTTTCTCTTTTATCAATATTTTCTAAGATAATATTAATTTGTTATCATCTTAACGTGAATCCATAGCCATCGTATGTTGATTGCGAAGATTATTACGTAAAGACCCTTTTCTGCATAGTCTAAAATAATAATGTAGTTTCCTGAATCATCTCTTGATAGCAAAATCATGGTATGAAGACACGATTACTCTTTTATTATATTGTATTGAATGGAGAACGACAATTTCCAAAGGAATGCCGGGCTATTTATACAAGTTAACTAACACAAGATTTGAATATTGCATCTATCAGTTATAACAATTTAGAGATTAGTGGTTAGTGGGGAGTTTTTATATTGTATAATTACCCAACGAAAACTTTTTGTTAGAGCCTAAAGGTGGTATCCGGCATTTATATGATATGAATTTTTTCTGCCATAATATTTTTTACATGAGGTATCATTTATGCAAAAACAACAAAGAAAAAACATCACGTAGTCATATATAGGGTTGGAAATTATACGGTATAATAAATTTTGGCATAAGTGCCAGGTTATTATATCGTATAATTAATTTTATCATCGAGCTTAATGTCACTTATGTGCTGTTACGCAGCACGTGCGTGACATTAGCACCGACAAAAAAAATTTACTGCTTGTTCTGAATTGAACTTATTGGTATTTGTCACATTCTCTTTTGAATTACTGTATTTGTATTATAGATAACCCTACCTGCACTTTTACCTTAACACTAAACTAATCCTCAAAAAATCACGTCGATACATGGCTTTTAATTTACGTTGTTTTGATTTTCATAAATCTGACCAATAGAAAAATTTATAATTTAATTTGACCAATATGGTTATTTACGTTGTTTTGATTTTCATCAATCTGACCAATAATATATAGTTATTGGATGCTTCGCATCCAATAACTATATATTATATGACCACATATAGTTTTGATTTACATAATATACCGCACATTCCATATGAATCAAGTATATTATATAAATATGGTTAATTTGCATACCAATACGTATTTATAAAATTTATGATAGATTTTTTTCATGTAACCCTGATTACTGATTTTTAATATTGTCCCCAAAATTGAAACCAGTGAAAAATACCCTATATGTACTGTACATATGTTTGTGTTTGTTTATTATTTTGAAACGTTAGATACTGTATTACTGTCCAATAAAAGTAATCCATAGACACTATAGAATTCGTAATACCTATGTATATTATCAAGCTTTCCGGTTGTAAGCTGCAATAAAGTTACGCCCAAATGTACAACAGATTTTGTTTTATCAAATTATTACAATAGGACATTTGGGATCGGTTACTATTAATCATAATGAGACTTTTGTGTAAGTTAGTGATACTCCAAGTTTGTAGAAATCGACCTTGCAAGCATAGCCAAAAAATAATTAAAAATCAGTAGTTTATTTAAATTTAGAAACACTTAAATACTGCACGTGATTAAGCGCGTAAATTTATAACGATAATTGATAATGAACACCTATGATGTCAACGAGCCAATCAGAAAACATGATACGCGTAGAATTGCTTATCAGACTATAACACTTGATATTAAAATA